CTCTTCTTCGGTCTCCTGTTGAGTTCGTAGGTGTTCAGAATGGTTTGATCCCTATTTAGCTGAATTCCTGAGACCAGACGAAATCTAGGTCTCCTACTCCTCCGCCATCTTGCTCCGCCCCCCTATAGTAAGTTTTTAAATAGGGAAATGTGAGTTCTCTCACTTGGTCTTTAATTTTCAAGATTTTTTGTTATTTGGGGCTCCTTGCCATTCCATATGAATTTGAGGATCATCTTTTCCATTCCTGTAGAAAGGCCACTGGAGCTGTGACAGGGATCACACTGAATTTAGAGCTCACTTTGTGGGGACATTACCACCTTACCAATATTAAGTCTTCTGATCCATGGACATGCATGTCTTCCCATTTAATTAGGCATTCTTTAACTCATTTTAGCGATATTTTCCAGTTTTCACTGTACAAGTTTTCATCTCCATGGGTATTTATTTATTCCTAGGTATTTTGTCCTTTTGGGTGCTACGGAAATAGAATTATTGCTTAATTTCCTTTTCTTGTTGTTTACTATGTGTTGATTTTGTACCCTGACACTTTGATTAACTCATTTATTAGTATTAGTAGTGTTTGTGTGTGTGTGTGTATGTGTGTGTGTGTGTGTGTCTGTTCTTCACGATGTTCTACATATAGAATAGTATCATCTGCAAAGAGAGATATGTTTACTTCTTCCTTTCCAATTTGGATGCTTTTTATTTCTTTTTCTTGCCTAACTTCTCTAACTAGGACTTCCAGAACGATGTTGAGAAGTGATAAAAAGTGGGCATCCTTGGTGATGGTTATTAAAGAGGACACATTCTGCATGGAGCACTGGGTGTTATATGCAAACAGTGAATCTTGAACACTACATCAAAAACTAATGATGTAATGTATGGTGATTAACATAATTTTAAAAAAAGTGGGCATCCTTGTCTAATTCCTGCTGTTTGGGGAAAAGTTTGTAGTCTTTCACGACTGAGTATAATGTTAACTGTAGGTTTTTCATAAATGTCCTTCATCATGTTATGGATGTTCCATTCTACTCCGAGTTTGCTAAGTGTTTTTGTCATGAAAGGGTGTTGAATTTTGTCAAATGCTTTTCCGCACCAATGAGATAATCATGTGGGTTTTTTCCTCATCACATTGGTTAATCTTTGTATGTTGAAAATGCATCCGTGCATTCCTGGGATAAATCCCATTTGATCATGGTGTATAATCCTTTTAATGAGTTCCAGTGTTGTTGGAACTAGCCTGTTAGTAACTTGTTCAGGATTCTTACTATATATTTATCAGGGACATT